GTGAAGACATTATTTTAATTAATGCGAAAATGCGAAGTAGAGGGGAGAGGACTTGATACTCTTCTGATTCTGATATGGTGGACATCGAGCCGACATATTCATATTACACGCACTCACGCAGTTTGACATCGTTTGTAGATGTACTGATTTTGTGTTCCGAGTTTTGTTTTCATCAGGTTTGCCTGATTGAGATAAGTACTATATAATACTTTTTATATGTACAAACTGTAGATAAGTGATACCTATTTACATTCAAATTTGTGTAGAAAAAATTCTTCATATAGGCCTGGTTTAGCCAGCTCTTAGGCCTCTTAGGGATTATTCTAGATGATGCGTCAAAGTCGTTTGAAGTTGTATCAATACCTTTATCAACGGAACAATTTGAGGATAATGAATCCGAAAATCTAAATTCCTTTGAGACATCTAAGGAGACGTCACCTAATGAAATGAATCTGGAAATGAAGGAAGAAGATGAATCAGAATTAATTGAAGATCTAGAAAGTTATGGGAAATTATTTGAAAATATTAAAACCACCGACATAACGGATGCCACTGACACTCAAAACATTAATCAGCACGATGGAGTTTTGAAATTAAAAATGAAGAGTAAACTAAAACTAGTAAAAAAAATCTACATTACGTTGGGTTTTTGAGCTGCGTCAAGTTAGCCCCCCATATTCGAATTTTCTAAAAAAATTGCAACCACTTACTGTGCTCGAAGTGTGCTTTACTGTGCCGATGATATTTTGAACTGTGCCGTTTCGATAACAAAGTTATAGGAAAAAATAGATGAGGGGCTAACTTGACGCTCAGCCTCCCCCCAAAATTTTGGAAATCAGATGAAATCAAAAAGGATTCTTATCCAATTTGAAGTGTGCTGAACTGTGCTGTATCAGGTTTTTCTGAAAATTTCCATATTCGGTCATTTTCCTATAAAATCCTACTGGGGGGCTAACTTGACGCTCAGCCCCCCCCCCCAAAATTTCGAAAATCAGTTTGAACAAAATTGAATTCTTATCCAATCTGAAGTGTGCTGTATCAGATTTTTCTCAAAATTTCCAAATTCGGTCATTTTCCGACAAAATTCTACTGGGGGGCTAACTTGACGCTCCGCCCCACCAAAAATTTGGAAATCAGATTAAACAAAATTGAATTCTTATCCAATCTGAAGTGTGCTGAACTGTGCTGTATCAGGTTTTTCTCAACATTTCCATATTCGGACATTTTCCGACAAAAAACTAAGAGGGGACTAAGTTGCTTTGGCCGTTCGACTTCGAGAAAGGTCCTAACAAAATTAAGTCCAGAAACATAACCTGTAAAAAAGATTACGATTCTTAGTGGGAGTGGGTTCCGTTTCCAACCTTGGTTACAGTTATACGTTTCGTTGAAAATGTCGATGCAATCGGCTATCGCGGTTTTTCAGTAACTGTCAAGAATCGTAAACTCTACAGGATTGCTCAATCCCATAAGACAAACGTTCATAAAAACATCGAAGATGGCGGTATGCGAATGACGTCACGCAGTCCTTGATCGGTTTGTGTTTTTTATGACAGTGCACTATCCTTGCATTTTCAAACGTGAAAAATTGTTATTTTGAGGTTATTTCCTTTGAAAACTGTATTTTGTAATTAATTTATTGATTTTAAAATTAGCAGACTTCAAAAGCTTGTGTTGATCCTTGAGGCTTGAGTGGTTGGCTAATTAGAAAGACGAGTTTGTTTGCTTTTGCTTATCAATTAGCCAAACATATTGCCAAAAAGTCAAAAAAACGAAGGGCTGGAGTCAAGCTGGCCCCCGGATTCGTTTCAATGTTTTTTTTTGTGTATGAAAATGAGCACAATTCGCATAAATACTGGCACAATTGAGCACAAAACGGGCACAATTGACTACAGAGTTGAGAAACAGTAGAAAACCAAATGTGGGGTGCCGAGCCGGTTTAATTTTTGCATTTCAATATCAAAATATAAGCGAAACGGGATTGCAATGTGCTTTATTTTTTACTGACCCTACCTAGGTACTTCTCAATTATTATTCTTTAATTTAATAGGTACTAGAACGATTTAATATGGACATTCAAAGTGAGCTTATTTCACAAAGCCAAATAGTGATACCTAATTTAGATTCTCATATAATCATATTCCAGAAAAACATTGCAAGTTTCCCATATTTTCCATGCGTTTTCATAGTAAACGCGCCAGTCCAGTAAAGGAATTTATTTACATATTTATTTATTCATTCTTCACAAACCCTAATTTTTATTAGTAATTACATGCAAAGGAAACTTACAACTAAGTAGATATTTGATTTATAAAAAAAAAGCAAAGTAGAGATAAATGGCCGGTTCTGCATCCTCCGACGCCTCCGACGCCTCCGAAGCCACTGCGCATGCTCCAACCTGGGTGTGGCGACGCTCTGACGTCAGAGCGTCGCCTCATCTACCCGCGCCATCTGTTGAGCAAACCGAACATTACCCCCACCCCCACCCCCCCCCCCCCCAACCCCTTCCCCTCCCCGCGCGCCATCTATCATCAATCATTCAAACTCATCTACGAGCACCATCTAGCGGAAAGAACAAGAACGTGGCGCAGCTCATCTACGAGCACCATCTAGCGGAGAGAACAAGAACTTGGCGGTTGCAGCGAGCTTTTTTTTTTTTACCCGCACGTTACCAATCGTTCCGTACCATCCACGCACGAATTAAAAAAAAGTCTATGTCGCTGCTGGGAATCGAACCCGAGGCGCCCGCTCCATAGTCACCGTCAGCCAGTGCTATAACCAAACGAGCTAAGCTTGCCTTGGAAATTAAACCGCTAAATGTTGTAGACATGAAAAAATAGGCTTGGCTTATTGTCGTTCGGTTGGCTGGTTCCGTTGCTAGGCTAGCCTCGCCTGATTTCTATTATTATAAATAATATTCTCTGACGTAACAATAATTTAATTACAACATTCGTTAAGTAATCATAGACGAAATAATATTGTTAATGTCCTAATGGTAGAGAACATTAAACGGCTGCTTGTATTTCGAGAGCTTTAGGAATGAAACAGTTATATATTTATTTAGAAACTCCACTTGTAGCTTGTACTGATAGAAATCAGAGAAATGAGAATCAGAAGAAATCAGATGACACCATGAGATAAGGAGCTGCGTCAAATTTCTGAAAAACCGCCAAAAATTTGGGATTGGCCCGGGTCAAATCCCCGAAATTTCAGATCAAAGGCGCCGCTGATTTAGAGATTTTCCCACGCTATCGAAAAAGTTCCCAGGCTCAGGTGCCCCCGTTACTATAAATTCCAAAATAATTAACAGGGTTTCATAAAATATTCACAGATAGTTAACAATATTAGCTAGTACTCTAATGGTGTAGAGACAATATATTTTAATAATTAATTTCTTCTTGGGTTGAATATTTTAAATTTGTTACCTACACGAGATGACTAATTAAATTATTTACGTAATTCATTAAAATCCCGATTAAAATTGATATTATTATTACATTAAAAAATTATCCATAGGAAAATTCCACCTTATTTATTAAACTCGTGTTGGATTCAAGGATTTTATGCAGATGCAGTGCATTATTTCGCGTCATACCTAAATAAACCATTGTTCAATTATTTATCATTTCTCGTCGCAATTTCGTCACAGTAAGATCACTTTGGGTTCCGTTGCGACTGTGTGTGTGTGTGTTGGTGTGTAATTTTTGTGGAGAAATTATTTTTAAAATCGTAAGTACCGATTCCTTTTTAACTTATTAAACCAATTTAAAAAATTTCTTTTTCTTATTTTTCACTCAATGTTTTTATGTACCTATGTGCGAAGTTTTGTTTGTTTAAAGGTAGTTTTAGTTGTTTATGAGTTTTTCTTTTAAATTTGAGTTTAGAAATGTGGGTTTTCCAAGAAATTTAATTGTTTTTTTTTTATTGGGAGAGATTTTGAGAATCTGTTTAAAAGTTTTTTTTTTTTTTATAGTAACAAATAGGTACTAAACATAAATAAATAAATAAAGAATTATAATAGTTTAGTCAAAAATATTTATTTAATTTTATTAAAGTTTACAATACAGTGTATTTTTGAGAATCAAAATCATCAGCATCAAGATCATAGATAATTGATGCTGACGTTGATGGTTTAATTATTCTATTTTCCAAAATTTTCATTCTTTTTTTCTTGGGTTCTTCTTGCTTTTCTTCTTCTCCTGCCTCAAGCTTCTCCTCCTCATAAACCTCAGATATTTGCCTCTTCCGGTCAGCTTCATCCAGTAGGTAGAAGTTGAACTGGCTGAATTCTTTGAGTCCCTGTAGGAACAAATTCAGTTCATCTTCATCGTCCGCTACCACTCTCATGTATTTTACTGGCAACCCCTTCATTTTACTGTCCACCGTCTCATTCTTGGGCGAGTACGACAAATATAGATGAACTCGCCCGTTCACTATCTTGACGTCCTTTCTCCCAAACCTGGAAATTATTAAAAAAAAAAACTTAACTAAAAGCGCATAGATAATTTAAAAAAAAAGACTTACCTAAATAAATTCTTTAAAAAAACCACCAACATTTTGTTGGTCATTTTTTTCGGACTGGTTGACTCGAAAATGAAGGTTGTTGGTACATTCATGGTGGTAGTGGACACTTATACTGTGAAGTGAGTTTTTTTCTGTATTTTCTGGTATTTATATATATTTTTTCCATACGTTTTCATACACGTTCTTCGATTTCAGCATATTTTACTTTTTCCTTTCAATGATTAGATAGTTAAGGTTTATAAAAAGTAACTAAATTGTATCTAAGCTAAAAAGCGCATACAACGAATTATTTTTATATTTATATTTATGAATCGTTTATTGTAGTATAGGAGATTAATTGTTCTACATTTATTTTAATTATAATAGTTGATGGTTAATTAAAAGTACTTACCCAACACGTGTATGATCTTATGACCTCATACAGCGACTTTATTATAATGTTTTGCTAGTTATTTTATTAAGGATTTTTTTTTTAGAAAATGTTTGTCTGCGAATTCTGCAATAAATCGTTCACCAGAAAGGATAACCTAAAACGTCATGGGGACTGCAGATCCTCCACCAACATCTGCAGTCAATGTGGAGGGACCTTTAGATCAGCGGGGGCTCTTCAACGTCATGTAATGGAGATTCACCCAGCCCCGAGAGCCCTCAAACGTAAAGCTGAAGATTCCCTAACCCCCATGACAAAACAAGCTAGACTTGACCGAGCTGGTAATTTAATTTTTGTTTCCCATTTTAAACTCGTTATTGTTAAATCTAATTTATTGTTTTTTTTTTTTTAGGAACTTCAACATCAGTCACCCGCAGGTGTCAGGAATGTGATCTGGAGATTCCGACTAATCATTGGGTTGGCCATCTTCGGAGTCTCCAACACCGGGCCAACACCTGCGTGGAGCAGGAGGAAGGCGTCGAATTGATAAAAACGTCATTTAAATGCCGAATTGCAACATACCGACTTCCCTCTAAACAAGACCCTACCAGCGTGAAGGAATTTCTACAACACCTTCAGAAAAAATTCATCCAGCTGGTAGGGGATATGCTTAATAAATTTAACCATATCAAGGTCGGTATGGAGCTTTTCGGTCGCTTCCTTCTGCAAACAAAAGAAATAGAAGAGGTCAAGTCTTTTAATACAAAATTTACGCTGGTGAACGAGGGTGCAGACTTGGAGGAGTTGTTTCAACAATTTTCAAATATCTTGGCAAAAAAATGTGTGGAATTCCAAGAAAAAGAAAGTGGTATGTATCGTGGTTAGTTAACGGCTTTATACTATACGATGTCTCCTTTGTTACAGGCTGGGCGTTGCAACAACTTCTCTACCTAGAAATAAGTATAAATAAAGTCAACCCCCTAAAAGCATCTTCTTATCTACCGCTACCAAAAGAAATAGATGCTAAGAAAGCTGTTTTAAACATCCAGAATTGGGACCAAAAATGTTTTATGTGGTCAGTCTTGGCTCAGCTACATCCAGTTGATAGGACTCAAAATGCAAATAGAGTCGCGAACTATTCGCATTATGAGAATGAACTGGATTTTACAGGTATAGGATTTCCGATTAAACTGAAAGACATTCGCAAGTTTGAGCAACTCAATAATATTTCTATCAACGTATACGGTTTGGATATAGTCTATAAATATGGTAGAAATATTGTTGAAGTTGTTGGTCCTTTATATTTTACTGAATCACGAAAAGCGACACATGTAAATTTATTATTAATCAGTAATGATTTTGGTAACAATCACTACTGTTTAATAAAAAACATGTCTCGACTGATCTCAAGTCAATTATCTAAGCATGAAAAAAAAAAGTACTTGTGCGATGGTTGTTTGTTGTATTTTTCAAGCGAGCAAAAATTACAGGCTCATCAAGAACACGACTGCGGTCACGTTTCTGTTCAACTTCCGTCAACCAATTTAATAACAAATAAATACGGTGAAAAGGCTCCCGAGAATATTTTGAAATTTAAAAATTTCGAGAAGAAATTAAAGGTACCTTTTACTGTTTACGCCGATTTCGAGACAATTATCGAACCCGTCGAAAGAGAACAGAAAGAGCTGGACCCCGAAAATTCCTATACTATTAAAACACACAAAGCTATTCCCTACTCTTTCGCCTACTACATTAAATGTGATTTCGATGATTCTCATTCAATTTTCAAGACCTTCAGAGGAATCGATGCACAGAAAGTATTCGTAGATTGGTTAGAGAGTGATTGTAAATCAATCTATAACCGATTTATGAAAAATATCGTGAACATGCATCCTCTGAGTCCAGAACAAGAGAATGAGTTTCGCGATGCAATAAATTGTCATATTTGCGAAAAACCATTTAAAGTAGGAGATGAAAGAGTAAGAGATCACTGTCATCTTACAGGGAATTTTCGAGCTGCAGCTCATTCTATTTGTAATGTTAATTATACACTACCAACCCATATTCCCATCTTCTTCCATAACATGTCCGGGTTCGATTCCCATCTGTTTGTTAAGGAATTGGCTCAAGGAAACGAGAAATTGGATGTTATCCCCCAAAATAAGGAGCGGTACATTTCATTCACCAAACATATTTTGGTGGATAAGATCCTGCTCGACGAAACCGGTAAATACAAACAGGTATTTTTAAAGTTACGCTTCCTCGACAGTTTCAGATTCATGGCCTCAAGCCTAGATAAATTATCTCAAAATTTAAAACCAGAACAATGTCGAGAAGTTAGAAAATTTTTTCCCGCGGAAGATGAATTTCAAATTATTCGACAGAAGGGCGTTTTCCCGTATTCTTACGTGGATTCATTTTCAAAACTAAATGACAACAAGCTTCCATCCATTGATGATTTCTATAACCAGTTAAGAAAAGAAACCATCAAACCTGAAGATTACGAGCGTGCACAGACAGTATGGAATTTGTTCAAATGTAAAACTCTAGGTCAATATTCAGATATTTATTTAAAATCGGACGTATTAATTCTCGCTGATGTTTTTGAAAATTTCAGAGACGTGTGTCTATCAACCTACGGTCTAGATCCATGTCAGTATTACACAGCTCCAGGGCTGTCTTTCGATGCGGCTCTCAAAACGACAGCCGTAAAGCTGGAATTACTGACAGATATAGACATGATACACTTCCTGAAGCGCGGTATTCGCGGAGGGGTCAGTCAATGTAGTATAAGGAAAGCTGTCGCGAATAATAAATTTATTCCTCATTATGATGCTTCCAAACCCACTTCTTACATCATGTACTTAGATGCTACCAACTTGTATGGAGCAGCTATGTCTCAATATCTACCAACGGGTAATTTTAAATGGCTTGACGCGGATGAGATTAAAACTTTAGATTATACAAAATTAGATAAAAATTCAGACACTGGCTATATTTTTGAGATCGATTTAGAATATCCGGAAGACCTGCATTATAGGCATAACGATCTACCCTTTTGTCCGGAATCTGTTATTCCGAAAGACTCTAGATCTAAAATTAAAAAACTTATTCCAAATTTCGAACGTAAACAAAAATATATTATCCATTTTCAAAGTTTGCAGCAAGCCATAAGTCATGGCATTAAACCCGGCCAAATTCATCGCGTTCTTTCATTTAATCAATCTCCCTGGCTAAAAATTTATATTGACCTAAACACAATAAAAAGGAATGCTGCATCCAATAAGTTTGAAAAAGACTTTTTCAAACTTATGAATAATGCTGTGTTTGGGAAAACCATGGAAAACGTGGAGAAAAGGGTAGATATCAAGCTAATTACCCATTGGGAAAATATTGGTAGGAAACTGGGGGCAGAAGCATGGATCTCGAAACCGCATTTCAAAGATATCACTATTTTTGGCGAAAATTTAGTTGCCATTCATATGGCTAAACAGAAAGTTGTATATGATAAACCCATATATGTTGGATTTGCCATTTTAGACATCTCTAAGACTATCATGTATGATTTTCTGTATAGCTATATTAAGCCTAAATACGGGGATAAGGCATCCTTGCTTTACACGGATACTGACTCCCTAATTTTAAAAGTTGATACAGATAATTTTTATGATGATATGCGAGAAAATTTGAATAGATTCGATACTTCCAATTACTCACAGAACAATTCACATAATCTACCTGTAAACCAATCAATCTTGGGTAAAATGAAAGATGAATACGCAGGTAAGATTGTGTGGGAGTTCTATGGAACTGGGGCGAAGGCATATTGTGTTAATGTGGAGGGAGAGTTAACTAAAAAAGCTAAAGGCGTACCTGATTACGTCACCAAAAAAGAACTCGGTCTTGCAGACTATAAGGCTGCGGTAGACGTAGAAGGTACGCTTATCCATCGACAGATGAACACTTTCCGTTCACATAAACACGATATGTTTATCGAACTTAAAAATAAGGTAGCCTTATCATACGCGGACGATAAACGCTACGTTATACCCGGTACAGAGTACACGCTTGCTTGGGGTCACCGAGATATAGTACTGTATAAGGAATAATCGGAAATCCTAGAGAAAGTTAGGGCTGATTACATCAACAGCAGCTTTTACAGTTTTTAAATCTTCTGGTAGCTATGACGTCTTTTAGGGGGTTTTTAGTTAAGGTTTAGTATATTAACTTTATATTATTTAATTATTTATTTTATTATTTTTTGTTATAAGATTTAGATTTTTTTGTATCTTTACATGTTTTTACGCTAGATATACGAAATTTTTTTTGTTCTCTCTTGTTGAGCATTAACTCGAACTTCGCCATCATGTAAAAAAAAAAAAAAAAAAAAAAAATTTAAATATAAGTAAAGACATGTTGTATTGTGTTGTATTGTATTGTATTGTATACCTACAAAAAATCTTGTTATGTTTTTTTAACGAAATAAAATATGTATTTGTTTTGTTTTTTTACTTGATTCTTTTATTTTACTTTTATAAAAATATCATACAAGTTATATTTATGAGCTAAAACTAATTCAAGATGATTTTCATTCCATGTCATTACTTCATTGGTTCGAGTATCGGAGACAATCATTCCTTTACTGTCTTCTTCACACCAATAACTAACGTGAATATAATCACCAATGAAAAAACTTGTATCACACCATCCATCGTTTATGATATCAAGAGAATATAAAAACTCTGTAAACTCATCATAGGTAAATTTTATTGATGATCCATCCTTGTGTTGTAAGATAACTTCCTTTTTCTCGATGTTATAATTAATTCGTACAATGTTCTCAATATTATACTCCTGATAAACTGGCTCCTCAGATAAGGTTGCTTGTCCATTCAATTTCAAGTCCATTTTTAGATTTTGAAAATTATTTATCATCAACTTTTTCTCTTGGTAGAATTCTAAATCTTTTCTCAATGTGGATAGATTTTTTAAATACCTTTCAATTCTTTTAGTGAGTACACAGCTCATCACACCCACAGAAACCGACTGAGCCTATTCAACTTAATTTTCTATATTTATTAAAAAAAAAAAAAACTAGAGATTTATCATGCAACAAATTTATTGAGGTAAGAGGCTAACAATATAATTATAGAGTACCTGAACATTTTTAACGCTACACGAGCAAAACTTAATTCTATGATATTGACAGTCTGTTAAACCACGATTTAACTTAGGCACTTTAGCCCCCGAAAATTCCAAATTAACAATAATTGGAGGGTCCAGATTCATTTCGGTGTATGCTTTAATAAGAAAATTCTTCTTAACATACCCTTTAACGTAGACAGTATCGATATTTTTCAAATTATCCTGAATCACTTGTTTAAGTTGTTCATATTCTACATCACCTGCATTGTAAGGGATACCGTGAAGATTGTGGAAGGTATAATTTTCTTCTTTTTTTTCGCCAACACTCAAGTCTTGAAGTAATATCTTTGGTTTAAAAATCCAAGTATTTATGTTTTTTCCATCATAAATAGCCAATTCTTTAACTTGAAAATTTTTAGAAAAGTAACCTTGAGCATCGAGAACCACAAACTTCATATTTTCTTGAATGTCCGAGAGTAAATGATTAGATTAGGATTCGAACATTACCTGATAAAGGCACATATTCAAACACTCGATCATGCACGATTATACAATAGGCTCGTGTATCTTCCGAAAAATTATCAGTGCCTTGAAACTCTAGTTTAACATCAATCGTACTGCTTTTAAGTGCTTCGTTCTGTTTCGAGCAATCTATAACAAATAACGTTCTGCTGGCAAAATCAGTATAGTCCAACAATGGCTCACTATTGGTTTTACCCAAATATGTGTTTTGAAATTCGGTATACATCCGATAGGCTTCTGCAAATTGTTTATTGCCAAAATTAAGATTTAGCGATTCATACGGGTAAACCTCAGAGTTTAGGTATAGTTTAACATCTGTGATGTTTAAATTATCAAAAAGAGTTACATCAGATTTAGGATTATCCTTTCGATCTTTTTGGAAAAAAACGATGATAAATCTAGCCCTCTCAGACATGGATTTTACAGTCCATACATCTCTCTTCGTTTTTCTTAGTGCTGGCAACTCATGGATTTCCCAGCTTCTAAATGGTATAAAAATGGGCTTGTTATTCGAAATATCTTGAAGCAATTTCAACTTTATAGCATCATTTGGATAAATGTGCCTCACTCTCAATTCTACAGATTCTAGAGTTATGCTGGCCTTCTTGTCACCTGTTGCATTAGTATAACAGTTATCGTCATTTCTAGCTCTTACGAGTTTTATTTTCTGTCTACCCATAATCGCTTTGTTGTAATCAGAAAAAATATTTAGTAAAAACCTTAGAGGTATTAGGAAATTAAAGTTTGTACCAGCAATGGATTTCACTGTTCCACTAGGCCAATTCCATCCTGCAGGGTTGAGTGCTTTGCTCTCTAGATCATTAAGGCATAAAATATTTCTCACAGTACTAGCAAGACCCGGATCTCGGATTTTATCAATTTCTCTACCGTTCAATTCGTAAGTGATGGATTCAAATAGAAATGCTCCTGCATTATTTGATAGTTCACATTTTCCGGTTTTTCCAGCAGCATTTTCTTCTTGAAACGTTCCTTCTATAGATATCTCGGCTTGACTGATATCCATAAACACATCTTGCTGATTAATGACAATTTCTATTTCATCACTATAGTTAAAGGATTTAGTGAAAGGATGATAAGTATGCCATTCTTCTCGCGCTATAGACTCATCGGTGTTGACCGACTGAAATATTTGTAGTTTTCCTGATGCGGTATCCATATTTGGATGCAAGAAAACTCAACTGAACTAAACTCCTAGACGTAAGCGTTTGCTTTGATGTCTGACGAGAGACTGAAGTTATATTGGTAAGGGGACTATTTAAATAGTTACCATTTCTATTGAAAATTAGAGGCATCTCACTTTTTAAGTTCTAATCTAACTATAATCTCTTCACCTCTGAAATTAACTGGCCTTGAATCCTGATCTAGTATATTAATGGTTATATTATCAATCCTCTTTCTATTGACAGGAAGATAAATCAGGTTTCGAGGTTCAATTATAATACTATATCCAGGATCTACAGCTGGTGTAAACTCGTATAATGTATGTGATGGATTACTTGTATAGTAAGAACCAGAGATAATGTTGCACTCTATTCGTATAGTTGCCACTGATATTATCTCCACTGGAAGGTCCGATACGTGTAAAGAATTAGCCTTCAAAGACTTTGGTGAAAATCCCAAAAGTTTCCCAATACTATCCTTAGGTTTGAAATTAATATCGTAAATACACTTCACCTCACACTTTAACGTGTTGTTGTTTGGTTTAAGAGATAAAACTTTTGTGTTACTTAAAGCGTTATCTGGGTTGAGTTTTGTTTGTAGGTAGGTTTCAATATCAGCAATCTCGTAGGATCCTGTAGAAATTTCTATCACTTGCTCCTTCTTATCGGAATCGGTATAATAAAGCTTGTTTCTTCCTGGTTCAATGTTAGGAATGGAGTTCCAGGTACTGAGTGATATGAGCGCTAGCGAGTAGCTATATGTAGGATCAAGATCAATAGGTGGATTAATGTCAACACTCAAACGACTGGTTCGACCTTTTAATGTGAACGTGAGAGACATGACTAAACCTCAACCCAACATTCAGTCTCATTTATATGGATTCGTTGAATAGAAAGCTTAATGCAAGATGTCCACAATTGTATGTGTTATAAGACTGATATTGATCATAGTTGAACAGGATCTCACAATTTTTGAAATAATGAACAAGTTCTTTCGGAGGATTCAGATTACCAAAACTATCAAAATAAATAACTGTATTCCCATTTTTCTTATAAGCTACCCAATGCGTTCCAGATCCTATATCCGCATCCAAATTAACCACACCACGTTCGATTTTCTTCGGACTTGCAGGTAAGGTATCTCGCATAAACACACCTCGAAAATTAGTAATTTTAAGTTTTTTAGCGTATCGCCTAATATCCTCATCACTAAGTGCTCGATTGGGTAGCTTTATTGGTAGTTTTTTGACATTTTCTTTAGAAACAATCCAAAACCAGTCTTGTGCTTGGTTAAGTATAATCCACTTCCTTTCTTTCCTAGGGCGATGGCTTCCATAGTCTTATTATGCCGCGTAGCTTCCTCTAATTTAGATTTTCCAATGCGAGCATCGGATACAGCTTTCGCAATACCACCAGCACCGCCAGATAATGCTCCAAGAGCGCTTAGTCCAGCAAACAGAGGTATTAGTGGAATAATCCCTCCAATTTTTGGTACGCGGATAACTCGAGGAACTTTAATTTTCTTCCGACCACCAGCTTGTCTAATCGTTTTGCGAGCTGCCTGAAGAGCCGAATTTATATAATTGCTGGTTCCTTTTCCACAATGGTGCTTTATCTGCTTTCTAACACTATTAACAACATAGGATTTAAATGGTTTTGGTTTCAATCTCAGTTTCTTGGATTCTTTCTTGGATCCTTCTCCTCCTCGTGCTCCCATTCCAAGTTTTCTCTTAGTTTTCATTGCAGTTGTAACTAACCAAGCTGCACTTTTCTCTCCAAAACTAGAATCTTGAGCTTTAACACGTTCCCACGCTTTATTCTCTAATACTTTATCTGCTTGATGTCTGTGCTCTAGATCTGTATTTTTAGAGTATTCGATATCGTGATCCTTACAATAACTATCCAAGTTATTTTTCGGTTTATCTCCACGAGCTAATCGTTTTGCAAGTTTAGTACCGGGACCGCAATAAGAATAACCAGGTAAATGAAGCTCAAACGGGAGCCTATTAATAGTACTATTTAAAAGACCCGCACCTGATGACGTATTCATTTCAAATGAAGCCTCGATAGAGTGTGCATGATTTATATATATATATTTATTTTACGATGCGAAAGACGAAGCAGAAAATTGAAATTAAAGTTGATAACTTTGATATTGCAATATCAAGTGTTAGAAAAAGACACAGTGATATTTTACCAAATACAATTAGATCGATAATATGTGGTCCAAGTAATTCAGGAAAAACAAATGTAATGTTAAG